AAACGTCATTGCATCTAAAACCACGAGACGCAGTGCTCAAGAATGGTTTTTAAAAAAAGCGCAGCGCTGAATGCCTACTCTGCCATGTTGCTGTCAAATAGAAAAGTTGCCATACCAACCTTCTACTGCAAACAAAAGCTCGCAACTAGGGATGTCACGATACCAAAAATCTAGTAGTCGGTGTACCTAAAGCATAACTTACAGTTGTAAAGCATAACTTACAGTTCAGATACAAGTTTTCACAAAAACAAAAAGTTTTATAAAATGATAAACTTTACATTTCAGCCTTTAAACCATTTTTAAGAAAACAGACGAGTCAAAAGTATTAATTGTTATATTAATTTAAACAATTATGATCAATAGATTATTATATCAATTAAATAACATAAATTAGGGGTGTGCAATATTGACAAAAAAATGATATCTCGATAATTTTCTGGGATTTTATTGATAACGATAATTAGATAATATTTTGCTGAATGTTTTATTGTGCTGGTACCTTATTATAATTGTGCTGACAGCTGACTCCTGAATTTTTTGATATTCTTCATATTCTGTGTGGTCAGTTTACAGCAGTGATAGAAATGAATTATTTCCAACAAGTTTTATGGGCATTTTTATCTTTAAACCATTTTTTCTAAAAGTGTGCACCATCTTTTGAGTCAAATTCTTGCATTTGGGCTGTTACCAAGCAAATGAAATCAGTATCAACAAAATTAATCTTTGCAATGTAGAGGAAACACAGATGCTGCATTAGAAGTGTCATTTAGATGAATTTACACACTGTTTAATGCAGCTCAGAGGGACATGAATGCATTTAACCTGCAGTTACAAATGCATAAATAATGTTTTGATATTTTAAACATAAAACATTAAAAACTGATGTTTGAAATTATTTTAAAAATTAAAAGATACCATAAATGTGAAATTAAAACCGCCAGTAGGTGGCAGCAAGTCACTGTTAAACTGAGTCATTGCGATTGAACCATCATTTAAACGGTTGATTCATTCAGGAAAGAAACACCGTCCTGTTGCTCAGAGATGTGGCTGTGTTTGGAATGATTTTTGTTGGAGAAATAGAGCAAAAACAGGCAATATAGTGTCTAAAACGTAAGTCTCTTAATATTAACTTCTTGTTTATTGAACTGTTGTATAAAATCAATATCACATTTGTAATCATGCTGAATTTTGGAGAAAAAAATACGGCACTCTTCGTGTGATATTAACTATATGAAATGATTTAAATATGGTGAACGTGATTTCAAGTACAACATGTTCCTGGAACAATATCCTTGTTGATCCTGGAACAACATTCCAATCAACCAATCAGAATTGAGGTATAACTTTTCATTCACCTATCATTTCCCTCTGATTTTAGGAATAAATTATGGCTAGGGTTAGGTTTAGGGGAAGGGACTGGGTTAGGTCTATATTTTTGGACAGTAATGTTGATCCAGGATCAACAAAAATGTTGATCCAGGAACATGTCTTACTTGGCAAAATCACGGCGACCGTGAAAGAACACACTATAAATGCACACGCGCACTAGTCTAACCTGCTAGGTGTTTTGTTTGCTTTTCGCGATATACTAGATAATATCAAATCGCACATCGTTAAAACAACAATAACGATATTATCGCAGACCATGCATATTGCACACCCCTATTCGATTTTTATAATGCACTGTCTTCTTATCGATCCACCAGTTCACATTTAAAGTGTAAACACAGGGTAAAAACATGGGTTGATTTTCGCATTGGTCTGAACTCTGAACAAAACATCAGATTTATTGAAAATGCTCTTTCATTCTGACAGCAGGTGGAGCATTTGGTAGAAATATAACTGTTTCCCCGGTAACGGCAGAACACAAAGCAGTGCAGCGCTCATGTTTATTTCATGAACTCATAACGTTAGCCTTTTGAAGTTTAATCGTCACACTCAGCCATATCGCAGTTCTGGTCTTTCCGTCCCCAAATTTAAGACCTCTTGAAATCATAATTAAGACTTTCTTGTACAATTTAAGACTTTTTAAGGCCTTAAATTTGATACAACTAAATTTAAGACTTTTTAAGACATTTTTATGAGTCCGCGGAAAAACCCTGTGCGCGCTCTCATTTAAATCTCACACAATCATATTCATATATCATCACCATCTGCCACGTGTAGTTCTTCTGTGTGCTTGTAGGCGTTTTTTTTCTTCTTTTTTACACTCTGAGGACCGAGTGAAACACTTCCAGGCGTATGCTCTGCCTGCCCCCCATCAGTTCCAGAAGAATTGCAGCTGCTTACGTTACTGAAGAAAAACAAGTACCAACAGGATTTTAAAATGTTCATACCAACTTGGTACCTTAGTATCGGTTCTCGTGACATCCCTACTCGCAACGCTTGCCCCACCTCCGGGGTCTTCTGACTGGTCCACTGTTTTGGAACTGCCATTGATGAGCGGCGCTGCATGTAAAAGTTTAAATTAATTTAACGCACCACTCACGTGCGAGACACCGCAAAAGATGCGAACACAACGGTCATACATGTCTGTATAGTGCTGACTACATGCACGGAAGTATGTTTTTAAGGGGAAAGTATTAATAGGATTTAAAAAAAAACAAACGAAATAACAGACATGGGAAAATTACATCAGTTAGAGGTTCTGAATTTCAGTTTCGATTAATCGTCCAGCCCTAACTAGCAGTGCTATTTTTATAATCACGTCACTTCTTTATAATCATGGCACACAATATTTGTTTGTACGCATGCATAAATGTACAGTATGTGTATATGATTCTGTTCACTATGTGAATAAAAAAATATCACATTATTCAGCTACTTCAGAGTGCAGCCATTCTAGCTGTTCCTGGCTTGCACAATAGCAGCCTCATGTGCACTGAGGTTGTGGCATTCAGCTGATAGCATAGAGATAAAATGTGCATTGAAAATAGTTTTCAGTGTTTTGTAAACCCATAAAGCCCTTAACCAAGCCATCTGATATCTATTTTTTATTTTGACCTCTTACCCAAGTTCTCTTTATAGTTCTTCCAATAAAAAAATAGTTATGTTATTGTGTGACGGGTGTGATTCAACGGTTAATAAAGCTGATCCTTTATCAAAATTTGATGCTTATATGAAGCTTATATTGCAGGGCTTGACATTAAGCCTTGACATGTGCTTGTCCTTCGGACAATTAAATCAGTCATTCACTTGTCCAAGTAAAAAAGTTACTTGTTCGGGGGAACCCCCCCCCCTTTTTTTTGGTGTAAATGTAATTATCCATTCTAAAGCAACAGTCTCATCAGTGCTCTATGAGGTCTTACTTTAATCAGCAAATTTTTTATATTTGCCTAAAATTGATTTCTAGGACACTTTTTAACTTTATTAAGGGCAATAGTTTCCTAACCTTACTAAAAGTACGTGTCATAATTTACGTGAAATTCTTACATTTTATCAATATATTCAGTTAGAATAATTAGACTCTGTATGGTTGTTACCATTCAAATGTAATCAGTATCAACAAACTCCATCTTTCCACTGCAGAGGAAACACTGAAGCTCCATCGAAAGTGCCACTGTTTAACCCTCTGGGGTCCGAGGGTGTTTTGGGGCCTGGAAAAGTTTTGACATGCCCTGACATTTGTGCTTTTTTCAGTTGCTTACAAACATTTGAATGTCTAAAATTTAATAACACTGTAATCAGCACAAACTGGGCTACAATAATATGTGAGCAGCATGTATGTACGTGATTGTGTTTTTGAGAAAACAACGTTTATGCGTGCTTAGTGAAAAACTACAATACAATAGTCCACATGCGCGGTGTCTCATGTGGACTATTGTAATATCAAAAGCGCGATCGGGCGCGTGGGCGTGGTCACATTAGCGATAATGAAGGCGACGGCCAAGACTTGACATAAAAGTAGACCCTTTACAGATTTAAATGCTGTATTACTCTTATATGTACGGTCAAGTATGAAGGAGCATGTTAGTTCTGTTCGCTGTCAACATTCAAATCTGCAAAAAGTTCTGCCGGCGGAACTGTCGACCCCAGGAGATTAATGAAGATAAGAGGTTCCATAAATGCATTTACCCAGTAAAATTGCAAATGCATAAATAATGTTATAAGATTAATGTTTTACTTCTTTATCATATACAGTAAATATGAAATGTTGGAAAATGCAATGAATGATACTTTTAAATATGAAACCAAACCACCAGTAGGTGGCAGCAAGTCACTGTCTTAATGAGTGAGTGAGTCACTGATTCAACCAATTCGTTCAAAAGGCTAATTCAGTCAATAAATAAAGCAAGTGACTGGCTTTATGAATGGCTCACTGAATCACTGACAAACCAATTCGTTCAAAAATGCTGAATCGTTCAGTAACGAAACACACCGCTGTGTGTTGCTCGGAGATGAGCGACTGTTCTGCTGTGGCTTTGCTTAGAACTATTTTCGTTTGCAAAAATGGTCAATAATGTGTCAAAAATGTAAGTCAGTTAATATTAACTACTTGTTTATTGAACTACTGTTGTATAAAATCAACGTCTCATTTGCAATTGTGCTGGTGCTTGGTCGTGTTGTGTGGCTTGGTCGCTTAGCTATATCATATGTTATATAGAATATCTTTTTTTTCTACTGCAGTATGTTTGTTCATGTCTGTTTCTTTGTGTGTGTTGTTGCGCCTATTAGTTTTGATTTCTCCGCGAGTCAGATAACGTTAGGCTGCATGAGCCTCAACTGACAATACATTTTCCGTTATGAGTCACCATTTACACTGAAAGTAATAAAATCAGAATCATTCTCATCAAAGTTTCGGTGCTGCCCTAGTTATTGTTTGTTATTGATGTTTTAATCAGGTTACTTGTCCAGTCGGGCAAGTAAAATTTTCTTTCACTTGCCCCCTCACAAAATTCACTTGTCCCGGACAATGTCGAGCCCTGTTATATGCTTAATTGTATCATTCTGCCTCATAGTTTAATGATCTAGGTCCATCCATTAATTCCCCAGTCTCTGACCTTGACAGAAGATTGAAACTCTTCCCATAAGGCACCAGGGATTTGTTCAGAGAATGACAACAGAAGATTCAGACAGCTCCTAAGAGGAAACAAGAACATCTAATGAGTAAATACACTTACACTGTATTTAAGAATGACTCACTTGTTTACTGATGCACTCATTTTTAATTAGTGAACAGCATAGCAGGACACTATATGGTTAAATAGTGAACAAAAATCAGTAAGCAAATATGGACGTTAAGGTATATACATTGCACCCCAGAGAACTGCAGCTCTGCAGCAATTTGAACTAGAACTGCTGCACAGCTGAATGACATATTTAAAACAATAACGAATGACATAATGAGTTCTGTTAGCCACTAAACTCTCTCTGTATAAATGGAAAATACCACCCGTTCTGAAAACCAGGCACGTTGAACAGTTTCTAGACTTTGAAAACATGACACGACCATCAGCATTAAGTCAGCATTATGCACTGGTCAGTGGAGGAGAATGAATATTTACTAAATATTTGTAAAATATATTTATCAACTTTCATTTTAGGCATGTCATAAAAAAAAAAAAAGTAAAACCCAACAACTATACTCATAGTAGCTCCCTCTTCCACCCAAAATAATTAGTCTGAAAATGGTCAGACTGCACACTACATCGCACAGAAAAAATACTAGGGTATAGTGTCTGATTTTGGACACAGCTTTAGTCTCCCATATGCTCCTATGTGAAAATTGTAGGGATGCACCGATATGAACATTTTGGCCGATACCGATAACTGATAATTCTTTATTTTTGAAAGCCGATAACCGATATGCTGGCCGATAAATCTATATCCAAATTTTTATATACTTATAACAACGCGCTGAAACACGGCAACTAAACCCAAAGAATTCACAACGTTTTATTATAATAATGTTCTCATTAGAATGTTATATACACGACATTCCCAATCATAGTTATTAATGTTGTGCACTGCTGTTTGAGCTGCGTGCGCTGAGCTAAAGATGATCACCGGTAAACTGAAGCGCTCTTTTAACTTAACCAAACGCATTCTATACGAGATAAATCAGATATACATCAAATAAACACAATAATACAACGTACAATTGCACAAAAGGCTGCAAACGAACAGCGCGCATCTGAAGTGTCTCTGAAGGAAATAATGCATTATTTATCGGCTTTAAGATATCGGCCAAATTTTCTTATCGGGCCGATACCGATAACAGAAAAAATGAGCATTTATCGGCCGATACCGATATGGTGGCCGATATATCGTGCATCCCTAGAAAATTGAAATATATTTGTATATTTGTGGCACGGGATTGAAGGTATGGCGCATAGTTTTCCTTATTTCCACAGGTTCAGCACTTATAATGCAGGAATTTCCCCAAACATTTATTCACTAAAGCATGTAAGCTGAACGAGCAAATGAATACACAGATTATCAGATCAAATCAGTAGTTTGACAATTTTCTGTGGGATGTTCACAAACAGTGTGACTGATTCTCTCTCAATACAATGCAAAAATGGTTTTCACATCACCACATTACGCATACACTGCAAGTAGCACGCTGTGATACTTCCAGCATGAAAGACATTTCCATTATTTCCATTATAACTGATTTTAAATTATTCAAGTACAAGACGAAGCAAAAGAAAAGAGAAAAACAGTCCTTAGTAAAAACACACCGCCATGTTCAGAGCTGTTTTTGATGCGTGTCGTGGGTTTCATGATAACGGCGATGGAATGTGTAAACACAATTTACACGATTAAAAGTGCATGAAAATCTGAATAAATCTCTATGGCTTTTCTCTTCCCTTTCACAAACTGATCCATCTCCCATTCTAAGTTACGTTTTTTGGCTGTTTACGGTTTTATTTATTTTCTTTTTCTGCTGAAAAGACTCCAGGGGGTAAAATACATGTTTTTTGGAGGGGTTGCCCAAACCGCAGACTTGGCAACACTGTAGTGTGCCAACTTGATGCTTCCTCTGAAGACTGCTTAGATGTGTTCGACTTGAAGCGCTGCTTAGACCGATTGGTGTGTGTCATCTGCGAGACTGCGAGAGCTATAAGAGAGCGGATGTCTCCTTATGCTTTCTCTCGCCGTACTTTGATGTAATGCAACGATCGATCTTCAAGTCAAACACACCTCTTTACTCTCGCGTGTCACGTGACCGAGTGTAATTGCAGCCTCTGCGGTTGAAAAATAAGCCCCTGCGATTGAAAAATCGCGTTTTTTTCATATCGCGATATTATCGCAAATGCAATTAATCGTTCAGCCCTACTGAGAATGCATGTACAGAATGACGCGTTTGGTGTATGATAAGGGCCTTTTGCACCGCGGGAACCTTTTCATATAATACCAGAACTAATTGTGGAACTACCCACTTTTTGGCGTTTTCGCACTGCCTTAACTGGGTGCGATTTTAGTACCGCAAGGCAGTCGCCTTTTTCGAGAACCAAATTAGCTCCAAAACGCCCTCACCCGCCATGATTCAAAATGCCGCGTAAACATACTGTAAACATGGTGTCAAATTATTTTGCAAGTATGGAGAACAGCGACAGATGGACGGACGCTGAAGTGCAGGCACTTGTAGCAAATGTAGCACTGCCAGTTGTCGTTAAACTTAGTTTCCTTTGTTGAACGCCGCGCACAAATGACGTCGCTGTCGACCGGCTAACGTCACTTCCTATTACACACTGTCGGTGCGAATGCAACCCTTTAAATGGTACTGGGAAATAGTTCACGCAAAATCGTCCCAGTACTTTAGTACTGTACATTTAGTTCTGGAACTAAAGCGGAGCAAAAGGCCCTATATATAGGTAATAGCACGTGCAGCGGCAGCCTCCAGCGGGTCCTAATGCCTGCTCAGTAAGGAGTTTTAATTCCGTAAGGGGCGCTGTGGGCCTACTTCTAATAAAATTAAAGCAAAATGCACAAATAATATTTAGACTGTGTTTCTGATTAAATAAAGCAGTAATTGATGCCATAAAATCATGAGTATGTTTTGATTTAAAGGTCAGAAGCTATAGCTTGCATGAACAACAACAACAAAAAAAAAATCACAAACATGACACTTAAATTAAATAATTTTATATATACTGATTTATTCATTAATGTGTAATGTTATATTTTTTAAACAAATTATGAGCTCTAAAAGATTTTCAGAATTTTTACAACTCTTTTGCTTTAGACCATTTACAAATGTTAAATCATAAAATAAAATGTTAACGTTACCATTGCATCTTTCTGGAAAAAAAAATGCAGTGATTAATATATAGTTTATTTATAGTTATTTTCAAATCTTCAGTATACTGTCATTATAAAAGCACTTTATTATTGTTTATTTAATTCTAACAAATAAGTTCTTGTTAAAAACTAACCAAAATGAAAAATAATTATATATCGGTATCGGCATCGGCCAAAATGAGTTGAAAATTATCCGGATATCGGCAAAAATCCAATATCGTGCATCCCTATAAAAAACCTCAAAAAAGAGAACAGGCATGCAAAGCTATTGTGATATATCAATACAGAGAAAATACCAATGAAAAATATACTCACCATGACAACTTCTCCAGCACATCTGTGATGTGTTCACATTCAGGGCTGAGGAACGGGCTGGCCTCAGCACAACACATTATAGCTACTGTATACATCTCCAAAAGAGGAAGCGGATCTTCATCTGCTCTCCACTGACATCCATGATGCATCAAAACCTGCATGAAAAAAAAAAGAGCCATAAATGAATGGTCCAGCCCAAAGCCATTTCCAACAAAGGGATGTAACAGTAGTAAAGAGTAATAATGAAATATGGTACATGCTAGATCTGACAAAACAGCAGTGATTTATATGATATGCAAATTAAAAATATTCAAATCATATATTGATAGGATCCTAGCATGATTTATTGAATCTGCTGGTCAAAGAATTTTGTCACAAACTGATAAATAATGAATTGAGAACAGCAGTTTTCTTCAATAAAAGAGACAACAATTAAAACACTGTCTCTTTAAGTTACATCTGCTGAGTTTTTATATAGATAACGGTTATAGGATTATATATAACATACATATTTTTTTCCCTGAATAAAAGTACAGGCTGCTGCTGCTACAATAAGCTAATGAGTTAGCCATCAGGAGCAGTTGACCATACCGTACAAACAAACGGCATGATTGCAAGATTTAATGATTTTAAAAGACAATCATGCTTCATCTCTCCCTCACACAGCTTTCTGTGTTTTACCCATCACATTTATAAATGATTGTATTATTATTGTTAGTTTTGTTATCGTTGGTCCAGCGATGCAAACATGCAGCATCGTCCACGAACAAAGACTGATAGATTAAAACGCATGAATAAAGTCGTACTTGACAGAAATCCTGACAAAAACTATTGGAGGCATCTAGCGTCGACTCTGAGCTCCTTTTTAATTCAGAGATGAGATCCTGAAATTTGTGTCTGAGGGCCACAACCTCAGTCGCGCTGCCCTCCTCCTCCGCCATCTTCGCTGCATTCACACCAGCCCAAATATCTCGAACTACTACGGCCAAGGCCTGATCCAAATATTCATGACTCGTGCATTCGCTATTAGATGGTTACCAATCAACGTCAGCACAACCTAATTAATATTCACAATAAAATCTGCATCACAGCAACTTTACCAAGCGATGTCTACAAGACGTATTTAATATTTATGATTGTGAAGCAGTCGCCATAGTAACTGATATGAAGTACATCAAAGCACCATAATTAATATTTATCACCGATTTTTCGTCATAGTAGTATTCGAAACTTCGCATTGCACACACTGTCCCAGCAATGGCGCAGGCGGTATGCGGGCGTCTCTTTGCACAGAAATTACTAAAGAAGAAAAAATAATAATAATCACTCTCGTTTCAATCTCATAAAAGAAACGATTTAAAGGAGAGAAAAAAACTTGAGATAATATTGTTTTTGCTAAGTGTATTCGTCTTATTAAGATTCAAGTGGCTTTATTGGCATGGCAAAAAAGGCTTTGCATTGGTAACAATAAATTACAGACATACACGTTTACAGTTTTGATAAGAACAACGAAAATGAAACGACAAAAAAGTACACAGTGATTTGGTTTCTTATTTAAACGTGTTGATCATTATGTGTTATTGGTGGTCCTGTTGCACTAGCTAATCTTTTATCATGACAGGACATCACAATCCAGCTTTGCATATTTGCTGCGTTTCTCTCAGCATACGTGGGAGAATGTTCCTTTATGTAATCAAGTTCAAGTCTTTTTCATGGGTTTTGATTAAAATGTTCTTTACACTGAGAAAAAATGCTTCTTATAAGAACTATTTACTGAAAATTCTTCTTCCAAAATGGTTCTTCTAAGGCTTTAATCAATGCGAAAACCCACTTTGAAACTTTTGCGTGTAGGAATTTCAATCACCCTCAATCCATACAAAGGATAAAGCAAGTATAAAAGTGATGGAGAAAAGAAGAAACAAAGCATGTCACAAGCAATCATATTTTAAATTTAATATATGGATTTGAGTAAGATGACAAAATAAGTGAGCAATTACCAGCAAAAGAGGGCTTAAACTAACAAGCAGGGTGCAGTGATGGTGTTTTCTTGCATTTTATTAGTGATAAAATATCACATTATGTGCTCTTAAAATGTTGGTTGCAATAATGATTGCAACCTTTTGAAAAAGAAGTGGTGGAAAAAACACCCAGCCTTGACAATTTACATGGTAGAAAAGTAAATAAGCACAGCTAACAAAATTCTAATAAGTGGCGTAAAATGACAGGTAGACTGGAATATAACTAGTTTTAGGCAAACACAAGCAAATCTTGAATGTCACAATGTTTTTTTTTAAGACTTATGATAGTAGCAGGTACTGCAGTAGCAGTCTGTGTGGTTCACTAGTTTGACATCATTGACAAGCACCTACAAATAAATACAAAAACAATATTTGTTATATACTCAAGAATAAAATAATATAATGAAACATAATTTTACAGCAATAGCAGTTAATGCTAATTTTACCCGTTTAACTTCTTTGGCTACACAGCATGTAGCTTCTGATGTGATATTTTTTGGAACAAGCATGGTTTTCTTGGACCTCAGGGGCGTGGGGTAAGCCCTAGAAAAGCAGCATCCCATACACTGATAGACAGGAGCTCCAGGTTTTGAGAAAATGTTGTTCTCCTTGAGTTTGCAACTCCTCACATCCAACTTGTATAAAATAAAAATATAATAGTAAAGGAAATGGTCCCATATGAAGTATCAAAATGTAGTCATTGGTTAGCAACTTACAGTTATTCATATCATTTCTTGGATACAGTTGTCCAAGACGAATAAGCATAAAAAACAATACTTGCTCCAGCATATCTTGTCCAAAACATGACTATAACAGAAGAAAAAAAGCTAAAAAGTGTACATACATCAGGCTACACAACTGCACTCATATTTTCAAAATACAAATATGTACACAGACCATTCTTTGTACAGTTTGCTACATTTGTACATTTTAAATGTATTCTTTAAACTCATAAATATTTCATTTGAAAAATTACCTTTGTTCTTGACTTCCTGCGAGATGATCAATCTGTCTTCTCAGAAACCGGTATAGCTACCTTTTATACCTTGCTTACGTCTGCCCCGTTTTGTGTGTGTGTGTGTGTTCATGACCAAGTGTGTGACTGTTCCCTTGCTGACCTTGTAATCCATTAGGTAAATGAAGTAAAGGACTGAATATGTACTGTAGTTTCAATGAACAATATTTTGTCTTTGAGATATCTGACTTTTATCGTTTACATTGTTGACTGGAAACCCCACCCAGTTTGTACAGAAAAATTTGCTCTGCTGTTTTTTTTTTTTTATTAAAACCTTCAGATTGTTAATGATTTACGGACACATAAATTATCCTGTAATTAATGCTGTCCTTAATCTCTTCTATAAACACACAGTATCAAGTGTCAAGGTTGAATGTTTGCTTTGCCTTCACTATCTCTCAATCTTTCCATCTGCAGCAAATCCACAAGACCTTGGTTTGGATTATGCAGTTTCATGCCTGATGCAAAGGTAATTCAATATTTTCAATGCCAGATGGAGAGTCACATAAATAACAAACTGAGATTGTAGGAAATGACAATGGCAACATGCAGACATATTCCCAAAAAATGCACATGTTCTCTTTTCTATTTTATGCTACCGGATTTTCAACACTGCAGTTTATTTGAAGCCTTTGGTCTAACTTTTGTGCTACTTTGTAAATTTATTGTTCTGCTTCCTTTTACGTTCTCCAGTGTACAAAGTCCTTTTTTTTTTTAAGACCAAGTAAAGAAACTTTATAGAACAAATTTAAGTGAACACAATACATCAACATTTTGCCTATAGGGAGCACATGATGAAAAACAACTTTCAACAGATCACCATTACTTTAAATTGTTTTACAAAAATTATGGGTTGAATATCTCTGCTCCTAACCACTAACTTATGTTTCTGATCAGACCCGTCAGCTATACCCCTTTATGACACTGCCTTTCCACTTGAGCTATGGATTCAAATACATGCAGTTTATGAGAACATATTATTTTAGTCCTTCGACTTCAACATTTGATGTTCAATTCAATGTTACTGATAATTCCTTAATAATTATTCGTAAAATTCACTAGCAATTTCTGAGCGAAAAAAGCTGGTGAACCATTTACTAAACACATCAACAAAACTAACAAAAGCAGCACTGCAAATGCATTTAGCATGAATTCAAGTATTCTTCTATAAATCTGAAATTGAAACAGCAGTTCTAACAAACTATTTGTTGTCATTAATAATGGAAGTGACCACAAACTACAGTCAAAATCACCAAACGTACTCAATTAGTTTTTTTTTTTCTTTTGGAGACACTTAGGCTGGAACAAACATTTATCCAATCTAACTCCAAACTGCAAGATTCAGAAAAGGTGCATCTGCACATCTTTCTATGGTTACTGGCAGATGAATCAGCACATAACTGTCACTAATTTAAGTCACGGAGATATTATGCCTTCTCTTCACTTTAAAATGAATTGCAACAAGAAAACAATCCCTCATGCAATTTAATGCCATGACTTAAAACTTTCTGCTCCAATTGAATACCTTTTTAAGGCCAGAAAGTGTGAATTAAGACAGAAATGTAACAATTTTTGTGTGACGACCCATGATCATGATTTGAGATTTAAATGATCAATTTAATAAATTTATCCTAACCTCATTTATAGACCACTTCCATTCTTTGCACTTCCTGACTGGATATAGAAAGCTAGTGTTATAGAGTTTTTTTTTTTAAGAAAAAACAAGCAGTTATAAAATGAATAGAGAGTGCAAGTGATAGAGGGTCAAGTGTTTTTTTTTTTATAAATTTTTTTTTTAATAAAAAAAAGAAAAACAAATAGCTAAAATAGATTTAGAATAGAGTGCTAGAGTTAGTGTCAAATAAAGATGGAAGAGATGTGTTTTTAGCCCTTTCTTGAAGATGGCTAAAGACTGAGCTGCTCGGATTGAGTTGGGCAGATCATTCCACCAGGAGGGAACAGTTGATGAAAAAGTCACTGAAAGTGATTTTGTGCCTCTTTGGGATGGCACAATATAGCGATGATCACTTGCAGAATGCAAGCTTCTAGAGGCCACATAAGTCTGACATAATAAATTTATGTAAGGGGTGCAGAGCCAGTGGTGGTTTTGTAGGCAAACAGTGCCTTGAATTTTATGTAAGCAGCTATTGGTAGCCAGTGTAAATTGATGAACAGAGGTGTGACGTGTGTTCTTTTCGGCTCATTAAAGATTAATCTTGCAGCAGCATTTTGGATTAATTGTAGAGGTTTGATAGAACTGGCTGGAAGACCTGCCAAGAGAGCATTGCAATAGTCCAGCCTGGATAGAACAAGAGCTTGAACAAGGAGTTGTGTTGCATGTTCTGAAAGAAAGGGCCTGATCTTCCTAATGTTGTATAAAGCAAATCTGCAGGACCGGGCAGTTTTAGCAATGTGGTCTGAGAAATTCAATGCTCAGTTAGTCCTATGCAAGTATTTATAACAATGGTCACTGATTTGTGATAATTTTACACATACTGCTTGGCACACCTACGGAAATGTAGTGATTTTAAGACAGGCAAAAATCATTCCTTAGAACAGCAAAAGCAATATAATAAAAAAAAAATATTTAGTCAGTACATTGTCCCAGTAGCCTATTTTACATTTAATTGCATTCAAGTCATCCTGTGTGTAGCACTGCAGAATGTAAATATGGTTTTAGCCACAAGAAGCCAACGATAATTAACAATAATAATGACAATAATTTGACAAGGATACTGATAAATTTATCTATGGTGATTTTTATTTATGACAGCCTCCAAGCAGAAGGGATACAACCAGATGTGTAAACAACTGACAGAGATGTCATTGTTAAGATGAAGACACAAAAAAAAAAAATAAAAAAATAAAAAATCTTAAGATTCTCTGAACATAAAAGAGTGCCAGGGAGTGGCTTCAGGGGAAAGGTTCATTATTATTTAAAACTGCATTGGTGAGCTGTTAACATATTGCAATAGTTAAAGACTACTAGGCCAATTTAATATGTTTGATTAAATCAATATCATTGATGGGAGACACCAAATAATTTAAATCAATAACACATTAATATCAAGAAGAGGATATCCTAGATCACCGAAGTTTCCCACAACAGCCACTAGATTTGGACTAGTCATTAGGTTTGGGTTAGTCATTTTCATTGGTTGCATTTTCCTCCTATATTTTCTCCACCTTTTAATTTCCTCTGATGTACTCTGAATGCCCAAAACTTTATTGTACTGAGTTCTGAACATAATTCACAGGGGAAATCTTTTAAATGTAGAAGGTCCCCCACTTATCCACCAAACAAATTCTTACAAAAAAAGAAAGAAAAACAAACAAACAAACATCTACATCCGTGGTGCGCCATAATCATCTGGCATCCTCTCAATGTTATACCTGAAAAAAAATATTATAACAGTTATATTAATTTACACAGGTGACAAGATAATATTCTTGTTACAATAATCGGTCGACAATTTCAATCAATCGGTCGGACTTGAAGCAGTGCACGCCAGTTAGAAATTTTGTCCGACTTGAGATGGTGGCAATGCCACGTCACTGTAATGTATGCCATCAAAGTATTGTAAGAGCGATTTGAGAGCAGTTGGCTGCCTCAATCTGCACAGCTTCTCCAGAGGGACCATGTGTGTTTCATGTTATTCTGACACCTTCATTTCCGGTATTGCTCTCAAATCTGTCTTTTTATAATAGAACTAACTCATTTCATGCATCCCTAATACAAAACTAAAATAAAATAAAATGCAATTTTAATGTTATATTAATAGTTTTGGACTATGTTAAACTTTATTCATCTATATATAGGTGATTTATTAAACAGTACTTAAAATTTTGAACGAAAAGTGTTTGCTGCAAGTTAAAAAAGGTTCGAAATGTCTAACAAATATTGTATCTAATCCACTCAATCTATGAAAAAGTACACAAACACTGCCAGATCATCACTACAGGAAGCAGAAAGCGTCTGACTTCAGTCAAATTCTGGAGTTTGCACAGAACCTTCTTACTTGCACTCACCAGCTGATAAGGCAAACCCCCCCAGACCCACTCCTCAGTAACATTAAATGCACAATATGTAAGATTTTTTATTAAAATATCCAAACACCACTAGAACAGTTTTATATATTTTGCTGACTTGTGTACTTACATTATCCCAAATGTTTCGAAGAATGTTTAAATCCAGAGAAATAAGCAATTTTAACTAGTGACACAGACCGCGTCTATAGTGTCATTGTGTCGCCTGCCAATGTCATCATACACCCTCGATTTCCGTTTTTTTTTTGTAGAAAACATGGAAACATCAAAGACGCTTTAATATGCTATGCATTTTATTAGACAGGTGATGACCGCACAGAGTAGAATTATAACAGAACTTTCAAATTTATCTATTATTTTTTTCCCCACATACGCACGACCGGAAGGAGCGGAAGCAGTCGACTGTGGCATAATAAAAGCTCCGCTGCTTTCGAGCCGTGCGTCGCATTCGTGTGTGTGTGTGTGTGTGTGTAGGTGATGTAAAAGAGGAAAGCAGACATTTGGACCAAAGCACTGTGAGGCAAGGGAGGGGAGACTCAAAATGTGTCTATACTTAAAACGCATTTTTGCCCCGTTTGTGTTATTTTACTACTTACACAATTATTTAACGACAACTCCCATGATTCCACACTCAGTCACAGCGTCATCAAGCTACGCCTTTGTCTCTTTGTTTGTTTTGAATACGCACCCTCCAGTTGCAAAAAATTACATATTGTGCCTTTAAGGTAAGACTTAGCAAAGAGAGCTTGAGTACCTGTGATTGGAGATGTACATGATGGGGACTCCTGGGATCTTCCGAATCCTCCTTTTTAGGTCCCTGTCCACCGTGGCCACAATGTAACATTTGTGCTAATGAAACAAACGGGAATGCTTTAGTCACAATGTAAAGGGTATCAGCTCTGAGATTGGAATTGTTTCATAGTCTCATTTATTTTATTGATTTGTGAATTTACTTGATTTTTACTCCTAATATACTGTATATTTGAGAATCTCATTTTATTTATTTGTTTGTTTGCTTGCTTGCTTTTGTGAACCCTCTACATTTTCTGTGCCTTAACCTTCATAATGCATTCAAAATCTGCATTCGACTTTTGCATTCCTGGGTCCATTTGGACCTGGTGGAATGAAAGCTTATTAAACAGTCATATTTCTTAACTATAGTCATATTGTATCTGATCAGTAACTTCTAATTAATTAGTGAATATGCAATTATTTAAAAGTTTTGAATGCTAGTGTTTTTACAACATTTTAGCCTATTTTTTATTAAACTGAACCATGAAAAAAATGATCATCAATAGGTGTGCATATTCATGTTTATCAACAAAATTCAGTCCCAAAAGTGTGTGAGAGACATGGGAAAGAAGATAATTTTTTTGAGAGAAAGCACATTCCTGCAGCTTCTGTAGAGTAACGCCAAGGTCATGGGTTCGATTCCCAGGGAATGCATGAATTTATAAAATGTATACTTTTAGCACATTGTAAAAAAAATATTTAAAAAATTCCAACAACAAAAAAACATCTACCGGTGTATAACTGTAAATTATCTCACTGATCAAAAAAGTCTGAATAACATTGTGTGAAGACTCAGTTGATACTCGGGTCAAAATCTGGTTATATCTCTTAAAGATTAGATTATAAATGGCCAAATGGGCACCCTGAATTAACTGAAGTTCAGTTGTTTATCTTTAAAAGAAAAAAGTATCATCTGTATGCAAAATGACCCACATTTGGTTTTTGACCACTGAAAATGTGTACAATTTAACAAATTCTTGGAGCAACACTATGATTCCGTTATATCTCTGGAACCATATAGGGCCTTCAAATGAAGCAGAAAAAGATCTAAGAACCAAAATCTACAAGGATATTAAGATATCTTTAATACATTTTGGGGGGGAAAAATATAATCAAAGTGCTTTTACCCATTTTTTTAACCCACTGTCACAATTGGCATATAATGCAACAGACTTCTGTATGTAATTTGGTTCCAAATCTCAGGTGAAAATTGTTACAAATAATGATGCTGCCATCTTAGTAAAGGTAAACAATTATAACCCCACAGATTACAAAGTTCTCATACCTGCGTTACTCTTTGCACCAAGCAGTCATCAGCATACGTTCCTTTGTGTGAGCAAGGTAATCGATCAAAGCGGGAATCTTTTGCAATCCTACAAATAAAGCTCAAATCAGCATAAAAACCAAGGAAGAAAGTGTAGCCACTTTCAAACATAAAACCTGTTAAAACCACAGTGAAATGCCAATTTTAACTTCTCTGGTAAATGCACCACATCTACTATTCACATACACAACAGCTTTCTATCTTTTATGTACACCGTTACCATTCCAGATGCTGACCACTTTTGATGAAATTACCAAAAATACACTTTAATACCCTGGAAACAGGGCTTCTCTCTCTCACTCAATTTTTGGGATTTTGCATAGAATTTGTGGGTGTCAGAGAGCCGCTATTAATATGCCAGACATTGCAGGAAAAGTGGGATGTCTGCCATTCATAAATCAGAACAGAAATGATGACAGATTGCTTCTATTGTCCTCATTTGTAAGTCACTTAGGAAAAAAGCGTCTTCTAAATGATTAAACGCAAATGTAATGTAAATTCTGTTGAAACTATAATGTTATCAAATTGGACAAACTGTTCAAATCTCATTTACGGCAAATGACATTGCTGTCCACAATGTAGTTAATCTTATGACCACTGCAGTGGCACACACTGCAACAAAGGTAGAACTGAAGTTACTACTACTTAGGCCAGCAAATGCTGCAGCTGATTTACCAGCATTTCAAAAACTCTAGATAGATAGAGCTCTAAATAGAAAAATGCCTTTTAATTACAACATTGCGAATTAATGGTGTCCCAGCACTTTAGTTTTAACAGTAAAAGAGTGCAAGATGTAAGTAGCTAAATATTTGCCAACTGTTTTATGAAAGAAATGTTAAACAACCGACAGTATTATGTTTTTTTTTGGTTAAGTTTTTTCTGTTTTACATAGAAAATATAGGTGTGATTCATGTAATTCATAATTGAATGTGATTTAGAGTGAATGTGTGCACATTTTAAAATAAAACTTTTATTTGCAAATAGTTCAACTTGATTTTACAAACAAGATTTTACAGCTTTTCATTATTCCCTTTAAATCTTTAATTTAAATAAATAAAAAAGGACATTTAAATAAAAATTATTATTATTATGCCCCGTCCCCAAACACTAGTTTGGTCCTCAGTGTTCAAGACACCGTTACTGTTACATGTATGTCATGCAAGTGTGCATTACCGCAAAGCCACTCGAAACTTCATCCCTAATTTCTCAAGCTCAGCCATCACACAGTCCGTTATGCAAGGAACACCTGAATGAAACAACAACAAAAAAAATATTAGCTTAATTATTAGCTTGAAAACTACAAATGTACGTTAGTAGTTTAGTCAGATTGTGTAAGTTGTATGAAGATCAGGGGCTGTATGCATAAAGCGCTCAGACAGGGTAAAAATGTAAACATTTATATTAATACATACAGGAAATTAAAATTGGCCTTCCCATTTCATTCATCAAAAATTATACAACAAAGAAACCTGTTACTAAAATACCATTTTGTGTTGTAATAAATCATGAACAAATGAATGGTGTCATTTAATACTATTACATCATACCCTTGCAAATGTATTACTGGTTAATTTAGGCTACATCCACATGAAGCCAGAGCTTTCCCGATCCAATCTTTTTTTCCCCTCGTCTCAAGAAATATCTGCGTCCACACGAAACCACAAAACCGACACAAAACGATGTAGTATACATGCCAGACCAGTATGTGGCGCTGTAATTCTGCCACAGAGATGCACTAAAAACGGAGAAGACGACTTGGACTATGTGCATAAACCTTGCGCACGGTATACAAACGAACATGGAACAATACATTTATTAATCTGTGTTAATGTTAGTTAATAAAAAGACAATCGTGCAGTGTTTGTTCATGCTTTTGTTGCCGTTACGTGACGTAGCGGTGTCTGACTAGGGGCGAGACGTGGGCTGATGACATCATCGTTTCAGAAAATATAAGGATTCGCTGTCCACACGAAAACGCAAGGGCGGCGTTTTCAGATTTATCCACTCTGGGACCTGGTTTCAAAAAATATCGGTTTCACTCTCCCAAAACGCCGGATCCGTGTGGACGAAACGCCTATATGATACAAAATGTATGCGTATAAAGCTAATCGCGTCTCCGTGTGGACGGGGCCTCAGTGGTTGAGGGCGGCCCCTTTTCTACACAACACTTAGGTGTGATCTGTCCTTAAGAGCATTTCTGAAGTTTTATGCATATGACCCAAGATCACATTTTATGAGTAATCAGTGCAGATGCCACTAAGACCCAATAATAGAAAAAAAAATAGTTTCCAACTAAGCCTATATTTAAAAAAAAATAAATAAATAGTAGAAGTAAATATTATATCATTCATGATAATCGTGCAAAACAAATTATAAAAGCCTTGAATTTTACACCAAGCCCAGCAGTTTAAAATCAACATTGAATGATAATGTCCAATTACTAGTTTTATTTGTTTTATTTTCATTTAAAAATGAAAATTACCATAATTTACTCACTCATGTCATTCCAGACCTGTATGACTTTCATTCCTCTGTAGAACAGATAAGATATTTTGAAGAATGTTTCAAGAGTTTTTCTTGCTTACAAGTAAAAAAAAGACTAAAGTCTTAAACCCAAAGAGATATTCTTTATACAAGTTAAGACTTGTCCACGCCTACCTAAAACGGCTCGTTCTAACACGCCCCCAACATGTCTACATCACGATGTGGGAAGATTTGCATAACGCCGCCTAAATGTTCACGCAAAGAAAGGCAGCGCAACTTTTATTCTCACTGAAGTATTGTTGCTGCCGCCGCCATGTTGTGGAGATGCTGTGTGTTTCATTGTGAAAGCGAAACTACTTTGTTTGGCCTTCCAAAAGAGGACGATATCCGCTTCGTCATGCCTACCGCTGAAGAAATACATCAACTTCGTCCTGTGGATCGCCGGATCGGCTTTCACCGTGGACGAAGCGGAGTCCAGCCTGGGGTCGTCACATGTGGTTGCCGCA